CTTTCCGAGCACGACAGCGTCCTGGGTACGGGCGTTGTCTCACCGTCTGAAGTTAATACACTACACAAACAAGTCCCGGTAAGTACGCGGAGTACGGCCGACAAACACTCTAGAGTTGATTGTCCCTCGAGGGATAGCCGCATCGGGTCATGTCTGCGTCGGACAGCGGTTCCGTCGCAGGGCTGGGGGAAGAGACCTCAGCCACGCAACAGCAACACGCCGAGGATCCGGCGATTGCGAGGCTGGAGGGCNTCTACACGGTCGAGAACACCAACCTCGCCACCCTCAACACCCGCGGCAACAGGGTCCTGCTGAGGTGGGGCGAGCCGGGGCAGAAGACGGAGTGGTCCTGCAAATGTGGGTTCCCCGCGAGATTCCAGATCCCTTGCTGCGACGTCATTGCCGTGGCTAGAGGTAAGCGATGTACCTAGTGGGCACAGCAGTAGTCTTGTGACCGAAAGAAACGATGAACGTGAACCTCGTGTTGCCAGGAGCCCTCCAGCAGCACTCTGTGAGTGTGTTGTCGCGGAATCGATCGGATCACTTGCGTGCTTATTCGCGTGTTCACACGACAAACCTGTTTTTGCACTGCATGCTCTGTCTCTGTGCTCTTGTCATTGTGGCGGGTCTTTTGTTTTCTGTGTGTCTGTTCATTTTGTTGTTTCCTGCGTGGTTTTGTTTTTTTATTTTTTGTTATCTCTTTTGTCCTGTCTTCCCCGGATAGTGTATTTTCTCTATCTTTGTGGAGTACCAAGATTGAACCAGGGGATGAAATACAATATCTGGCCTGTGATTATACCTTTTATTAGGCAGCGTAGCCTGTGACCACGGGAATCGCTCGGTCAAGTGTTTGATGTCACAAGAAATAAGCGATCTACGTTCGCGCACTTCCAGTTGAACGAACTAGGACCCTTTCTCGAACGCGATTTACACACCCGCACCCGCAACGGCAGGTTCGAGGTCGTGGTTACATGCGGTGCTTCGGCCGCAATACGTGAAAGCCAAAGTCTAACCGATGCCAATATGTCTAATGTATTCCTTCTGATGCTCCATGATTGGAAAACAGGTGGCACGATACTTCGCTTTCGGTCAGTCCGCCGTCGCGCGTCAGTATCCCTTTCGGCCGCGGTCGGCAGAAACTAACCACGTCACTGCTGTCATTTCCCTCTTTTGTCGTTGTCCATGTTGCCCCCTCCTTAAATACACGCAGAGGAGGACAAGACGGACGCTGTCATGACCCTGATGCACCCGGCCTTTCGCCTACAATGCCACCGCCAGACCTACGGCGACGACGCGTACCAGGTCATGCTGCCTGTGCCGTCCACGCTGGAGGAAGATGACACGCTGCGACCTCCTCTCCCCGTGGATGGTCAGGCCGGCGCTCCTAAGAAACTCGGGCCGAAGAAGTTCAAGAGGATCGCGGGGCGCTGGGACAAGTACGCTTCGTCGTCGTTCAACACGCGAGTTTCTGAACTCGGCCCGGCTGCATCCGGAACCACGGCGGCTCCCTCTCTGTCACAGGGGGGTGCCACGGCGGCTCCCTCTCTGTCGTAGGGGGGTGCCACAGCGACTCCCTCTTCGTCACAGGGGGGGCGTGCGGGCGGATCGGTCACGGTCGGGGGCATGGTGATCAGTTTGACACGCCGAATGCCGCCCGCCGAATGACGACGTGTGTTGCCGCTTTTTACGTGCCATGTNGGCGCTCCTAAGAAACTCGGGCCGAAGAAGTTCAAGAGGATCGCGGGGCGCTGGGACAAGTACGCTTCGTCGTCGTTCAACACGCGAGTTTCTGAACTCGGCCCGGCTGCATCCGGAACCACGGCGGCTCCCTCTCTGTCACAGGGGGGTGCCACGGCGGCTCCCTCTCTGTCGTAGGGGGGTGCCACAGCGACTCCCTCTTCGTCACAGGGGGGGCGTGCGGGCGGATCGGTCACGGTCGGGGGCATGGTGATCAGTTTGACACGCCGAATGCCGCCCGCCGAATGACGACGTGTGTTGCCGCTTTTTACGTGCCATGTACTACGCGATATTTTATTTTCGTGCCGTGCACTCCCCGGTGAAGAATCGGGGATCGCGGCCCTGACATTCATCTAGCCGACGACCAAATGGGTGATGACGATGGTGAATAATGGTGGGGAGGGAGGTTTTTAGGATCTTTGACACTTTTTTTCTTTTCTTTTGCTTTCGTGTTCCATGCGGTACGTTGGTTAAGTTCAGTGCAAGGCGCAATCGGTGTGCTTACCCTTTCGCTTTGATAGTTCATCGTTGATTGGTAGCACACACCCTCTGCTGACTAGGAACTTCCGGGGTACACGTTGCTGCTACACAGGGGAAGTAAACGAGCGTGTCGTGTTCAGATGTAGAGGTCGGAACCCGGATTCTGGTGTGGCACTCGAGGTCCTTGCGATGGGGGGGAGATGAGAGTGTTCCCAAGATTATGTTTGGTTTATCCCGACTTAGTTCCTCTCATAATGTAGCTAGCTGTCGATTCGCATTTTTCTGCGGAAACCGACGCGTAAGTGTTGAATCGAGACGAAGTAACTGCTGTGTTGCCACAACGCCAAATTCACACGATGTAAGATCGAATACCTAATCTGCTCAAAAGGTCATTCATGCATGACCGATACTTTTCTGAGGATTCCTGAGACACACCTACGCAGCATGCAGCCTCTTCACTCCCGCGTAAAACACCTGTATGTATGGCTCTTATCTGTATTGTTAGTTGAGCTACACCACAATTCTATCGTAAAGATAACATCTACCTCTACTCTACAGTAGTGTTGGTGACGACGCGAGCCTGGGACCGAGTCGACCGAATTGGACGTTGGCGGTTGTTGGTGCACGCCATCGCCGTGCGGTCGATTAACACCCAAGTAAGCACGCACGGAAAGAAGACGGAAATACACAGCACCTGGCACAGCCAAACAGGTGTGCATAATGGACGTAGCTCCGTGCTCCTAGCTCCCTGGTAAAATCCCTTGCGGAGCAGCGTGTCCGCGGAACAGCGCAGAAGATGTGTGCTTGTGTGTGTGTGTGTGGTTGGGAAAAGAGACAACACTTAATAGGTCGGCAATAAGTCTATGTGTGTAAAATGTGTATGTATACAGTTGGCGCCCGCAGTTAAGAAACGCTTATTTCAGGTCCAGTCTCGAATTCTTATTGTGGGCCATATGCTCAGCGTATGTCGTTCAGTTTCGTATTCCAAGTTTCTTATTTGCTCGTGCAGCCAAATCCTGCTGAATTTCTTAAATCG